CTCGTAAGCCGGCAACGTTCTTGGTAAGACAAATTTCGGTGTTCTGGGGTTAAAATTCTCTCGTTAAAAGTGTTGAACGGATTCTATTTTCTTCCGCTCAGTAGCACGCATGAGGCTAAATGAAAACGAACAGTATTCCAGACAAGGTCTAACGTACATGTTGAAAAAGCGAATTCTAATGTCCCTAGTTTTAAAATTTCGTAGGATAAACCCGGTCGTTCTACGTGCTTTGGAGACTATCAAGGCACAGTGCTCCGAGTGACTGAGACTCTTGGAGTATGATACGCCCAAATCCTTTATAACCCCTGGCACATTTATGGCGTGAACTTCAATGCTTATTTTAGGTTGGCGGTCGTCGCCAACCACCATGACTGAGCACTTATGCCAAGAAAGAGAAAGGCGCCATGTGCGGCACCACTGGGCGAAAGCCTGTAGATCGCTCTTAAGGAGCTCAAACACGAGGTCACGATCTGCCGGCTTATATCGATATGCAACTTTAAGATCATCGGCATACATGAAAGGCTTACCATTCTGAAATAAATTCGGTACATCATTAACGAAAAGGCAAAATAAAAGCGAGCCGAGTACACTACCCTGAACGACTCCAATCCTCACACGTGTGGGGTTGGAGATGGTATTGGAAATCTTAGTGCGTTGTGTACGAGTGCCCAGGTAAGAGGATATAAAATTCAAAAGTTTGCCACCTATTCCGTAGGGGGACAGTTTCAAAAGCCTTAGTGAAATCGAAAGATACTGTGTAAAGTGCAAGACCAGTGTTCCAAGATTGGAGAACATAGTCAAAGAAAGAGAGTTGACAGATGTCACAAGACCGAGTTTTGATGAGGCTACGCTGAGCAGCACTCGGTAGGTTATTCGCTGTTAAGTGACACATCATCTTATCCCTGATCAATGTCCCTAAGTTCTTCGAAATGGCGGGGAGTGTATTTATTTGCCGAAAGTCACCAAACGACGTAAAATGGCCATGTTTGGGAATGGGCAAAATGTGTGATTCATTCCACAAGTTAGGATAGGTTTCACTTTTAAGAGCCAGATTACCATGGATGGGAAAACTGCATTTGCATTCGCTTTTAGAATGCTGACTGGGACACCGTCAGGTGCAGGACTATGAGACTGACGAGAACACCGAAACGCAACAGTCACATTCCACAGAGTGAGGGTTGTAGTTCTAGGACTGCCCCGGTCAATGACTGGATGGTCGGAACCGGAGTGGTCGAGTCTTCAATAAACGTTTTGGACAGGAAATCATTGAGGCTATACGCGGTTAACTGGGCATGAACTATGTGATTTCCGAGATCGTCTCGAAGGATGGTATGCTGCGTCTATTGGTGAGTTCGTATTTTTCTAAAGAAAAGTTTCGAGACATTTAACGAATGGTTTTCGGTAAACTGGACCCATTCGGCTAGCTGTTTTTCTTCAGACAATCTCTTAGCTCGCTCAGAAATATCACAAATTAAGGGCAGGGCAGAAACGTCGTTCTGAAGATGGAATCGACGATAAAGTCTGCGCAATCTGCGACAAAAGGTGAAGGGTAGGAAAGCATCATCCCAACATTAATAATTTTCTTACGGGGGACAAAACGAGAAATAAGCGGATTCAAAATTTCGTACAGTTTTGCAGTGCAAACATTTACATCCGAACTAAGGAAGAACTCAGTCCAGTCGTGGGAATTAAGGTGTGTTAATAATTCGGTTGAGCGAGTTGATCGGAAATCGCGGAAAAAATTTATACCTTTGGGACGACATTTCGTCAGCCTCGAATTCCAACGTTGAAACGCCTATGTCATGGTCTGAGCCCCCGAGTGGGCCTAGGGATGACACTGACGATGGCAAGCAGCCTCTACAGAAAATTAGGTCAAGTATACTTGAGCCTCGGGTGGGAAAATCGACAACCTGAGTCCACATCCGAACATTCACAGCTTAATAATGTCTTCCAACCTTCTGGGACCTCAAGGCAGAGACCAGTGGACTTGGGGAAGAGTAAAGTCACCCGCAACCAATTGATACTTAGAGCTCGAGTCGGTCGCAACATGAAATGCCTGTGAGAGTAAACGGTCAGAGTCGTCCTTGGCATTGGAATGGCGATAGACGCAGCCAGCGAGCAGGGCGAACTTATTTTTAGTGCAATCTGGAGCCAGCAGCTGCCTGCTACTGCGGAAAAATGCGGAAGGTCAAGCGCAAAAATGTAAGTGTTTGCTTAACGTAGACGCAGCTGCCCCCACCACGGCTATCTTGGCGATCATTTCGAATGCAATTATAGCCTAGAAGAGAAAGTTCGGTGTCAGATAGCGAGGCTGTCGCCCACGTATCAGTTACTAAAACCACATCTGGAAAAGGGACAAACGCCAAAGTCTGAGGCAAAGGCATCTTATTAAGCAAGGATCTGGCATTTAAAACAAAAGGTTTGAAGGGAAAGGCTGTTTGTTTCTGAGGGAGGTGGGCTACGTCGTCCAGTGCTTGGCTGCCCGCGGAACAAACCATCCGGATGTACCCATCCGGTTCAGCAAAAAAAGTTGTGGCATCAAAAGATTCCGACGTGGATAAAAAGGGGTAGGACTTGGGGGAGGAAATGACGGGCAGGTAGACTGGTAACCATTGTTAGCTAACTTATTTTCAGCTGGAAATCCGCGGGGTAGATACTGCAACACATCCCAGCCGGAACAAACCTGAGGATCGGATGAGTTAACTGAAGCAGTATGGATACTAGCATGAGGAATTCATTGGTAAAACGGCCGTCGTTGAAACAAGTTAGGGAGTGAGGGACGCATTGCTCCCATTTGAGAAAGAGTTCTATTAAACGGCAGGAAAATCGGCATATTCGGCCTAACTGCCTCGATATGAGGGCTGGGGGTAGTTGGGAACCCGCTACGTTTAGAGTCGGGGTTCTTGTGACACTATTAGCCGATTTTGGAGGAAAATATTTTATAATGTTGCTGGATTTTTCGGGTTACCGATTGGCTGAGACAGCAATTGGATTTGCCTTTGACTTAGGCACATGCTTAAGCTTACTAGGGGTTGCTGGGGGGAGTCGATAGAGGCGTGTTTATACCAGGCTTGTTGTTGCTTCTAGAGATCTCAGCATCAATATTAGTCGAATTCCCTACGGTATTGACTATGCCGTGGCGTGCAGAGGCCGCAGATGGTATTGTAGAGGACTTATTCAGACTGACAGTAGGTGTCAATATCTTGGTGTTGGTTATTGCCGATTTTAATTTATTCAGTCTTCGCTGCGGTGGTGGGAGGTCTGGCGAAACGGAGCAGCGACATTTTCGACAGAACTCTCTAATTATCTCTCTCCTCGACAAGATAAAATCGACTTCTATCATGGAGAAAATGGTAACTAACATCGGCGCATTACGCCTAAGCGAGCGCAGTCGTTTAGCTTGTGCGACACCGAAACTCAAGCCACAACTTTGTAGAAACAAATGCGCTCCCTCCATAGCAGATAAGTGGCTCGGAATGCTTCGCAGTACGAAACTATGTTTGTGTTTAATTCTTTCCTCAGCTTCCGAACTTATTATCCGAATAAGTTTAAAAGCTTGTTTAATTACTTTTTCAGAAGTGCTGTTTATATCGCTATATATCAACTGATCGAGTATTTCGTCGACTGATGGCCCGTTACGTCTAGCAGAGGCGTATTTTTGGACGATTAAAGGGTCAAGAGGTTCTACATGTACTAGAGGGATTTGTGAGTTAATCATGTCTGCAGAAGGCGAAGAACATATGCTGGCACCTGCTATGCCTTCAGTCACAATTCTAGCACCCAGAGACGGTGGGGAGGCCGCAAGCTTTCGTCTTTTGGCACGAGTTCTGCGGACATCACAGAAAAGAAAAGTTTATCGTTACAGTAGAAGGGTCAAAACGTTGCTAACGTACGGAAAATCGCACTGAATACCAAGTACTACTGTTATTTAACTACGAAAATTCGATAGAGCTCGTCTGGGACGGAGTCACTACAAAGGTTTTTTACAAAATACGACTATTGTGCCAGACTGTCAAACAAAACTGGGAAAAATTATACCTTTTACTGAGAGGCGATTTTAAAAACGAGTCGAGTAAAGAAACAGGCGTTAATTGCTTGAGAGTATCAAAAATGCAAAGCTTTACTTATCTTTGAAATTGAGGCCAAAAGAAACCAGTACATTATGTGAATCGATGTCCGCATTTACTTGTTGCTGGAATTTCCTCATGTTTTCACTATTTTTTTGGTTTCTATGTGACGAAAAGGCAGATCAAATGCGTAGAGCCATTTCCTGCAAACACACTGAACTCCACTAAACTAAACAGTCGCTTGAGAGTGGTTTCCGGAATGTCCTCGTAGTGTCGTTTTTGTTCTTCTGATTGGTGAGCGCCTGTAGCAACATCACCATATCAAATTGCGTGGATAGACGCTCGTCAGTTATCCATGCATGGCGGTCACCACATCGGGGCAAATGTTGCTGCAGAACGGCGTGGATATTGACGATGCTTGCTCGTTCCAGGACTTTCGTTTCTTGGACTGTTCATTGCCTCCCCTCAACGGCTCCAATATGCTCCGGAGGCAGCTGAAATGAAAGTAGTCGGGCTCCTTAGACTGTTTCTCGTAGATTGTTAAGGTCTCCTCTGCGCACAAAAGCGCTGTTAATGTGATGACTTTGTAAAGTTTGAATTCTGTGTCGAGATGGAGGTCGTAGCAGTTTCCGACGGAGGCCTGCAGCCGGCTTTGGAGAACCGGTACGAGATCCCGTCTTCGTCTTTGGTACTCCTCGACTGAATACAGCATAAATGGGCAAATTTTTCAACTGTTTTGATCTGGGTTGTCTAATGTTTGCTATACAATGGTGGACTCAAGGACGGTGACTGGCGTGTGAATAAGTTCATATTGATAGTTGACTCAAATTACATGAACTGCGTCATTTCCTCCCTCATCAACTGTGTGACCTATCCACTAGTTCCTTATCAGTTCATCTTAGAATCACAGAGATTGTTGAGATGGCCTCAAGGATGCGCCAAGCGCGCGACAGGCAAAGAGAATCAATTGCTCTCAGTGGTTCGAACCCTGGCAAATCCGTCGCTAACATCTTCCGTCATCGGTCCTCCTCTAAGCGTGGTCATGAACTTCCACCCCTGCTAAATGATAACAAATTCTTCCTCACCGATGACACTGACAAGGCGGAGTTGCTTAGTGCTTTCTTTGCAAAACACCTTGCTACCGAGTCCGATCCGGTCCCTTTCTTTCGATCACTTTCAGATAGGACACTTAGTACAATTGATGTCTCCTCAGATCTCATTAAGAAACACATAAGCCGTTTGAAATACTCATACTGCTCAGGAACGGACGGGATTCCGAATTCGATTATTAAACAAGCGTCCGACCTTCCCATATTGCTTAGTCATTTATTCTCTGTTTATATTTCAAAAGGATTCTTTCCTGAAACATGGAAAACGTCAATTATCATTTCCGTTTTCAAGTCAGGATCTCGGTCCGATGTTAATAACTATCGGGGCGTGCACAAAACGCCGCCTCTAGCAAAACTTCTTAAAAGGATTATTTTCAATGAAATTCTTGACTTCTGTCTAGCTAATCGACTTCTGAGCTCTAGTCAGCATGGGTTTTTACCTGAACAATCCTGCGAAACATGTCACTTGGCTTTTCTTAATCTAATCACTTCTCTTCGTAATGAGCGGCAGTCAGTGGTTGTTATTTACTTTGATCTTAGCAAAGCCTTTGACAAGGTGCCCCATAGACGTCTTTTAGTAAAATTGGAAGCCCTCGGCATCCGGCCGCCTCTACTCGACTTCATTAGGTCCTATCTGTCCAACCGATATCAGAAAGTCATGGTCGGTAATAGCTACTCGACACCTCACTTGATCACGAGTGGCGTACTTCAAGGCACGGTCCTGGGTCCGCTACTCTTCCTTCTGTACACCATTGATATTTCGACTGAACTCGGAAATTCGCAAACTTTTACTTATGCCGATGACCTCAAGTGTGTTTACTCATCCTCTAAGGACACCGCAAATGTTTGTGTTGAAAAAATAAATGCCGATTTACTACGCTTAAGCAGATGGGGTTCGACATGGCAGATGGAGTTTTCATCATCCAAGTGTAGTTTCATGTCTTTTGGTCCTACCAAACTTCCTGGTCCCATAATTTTTCAGAATAACCCACTCTCAAAATGCCTCACCATAAAGGGCCTAGGTCTAAGTTATACAAATAAACTTGCTTTATCACCTCATGCAGATAGAATCTCTGCCAAAGCCGCGCAGATATGTGGATTCATATCGCATAATTTTTTCCTTCCGGAAATGAAGCTAAGACTTTATCAAATGTTTGTTCTTTCAGTCCTCGAATATTGCTGTCCTTTCTTCGGTTTAATGAACGCCTGCGACCGTAATAAAATCGAAAATGTTCAGAGGGTTTTCACCCGGAAACTGTTCTCTCAAGCTTCGTCCAGTATTTCTTATACTCAGAGATGTCAGCTGGCGAACATTAAGTTTTTGTGGGTTAGAAGACTCGAAGCTGGCCTTTGCTTCCTTTTTCGCATCAACTCTAGCTCCAGTCTTCCGCACATTGACACTCTCACTCCGAGAGATCGGTCTTATGCCACGCGCAACTCCTGCATGGTGATTCCGCCGCCTCTTTGTACTACATCTAAGCGCTCCCTCTTCTTTGCTTCCAAATATGCCTTCCTTTGGAATAATCTTCCGCCTGAAATTAGATTATCGCCTAAGTTACTGGTATTCAAGTCGAAATTACGCAACCATCTTACACCGAAAAGCATAAAGGCACTGTTAACGGTCTCATTCCCGAACACTCAGATTCTTGACTTCGAGAAGGGTCCTCCTGGGATTTAGTGGTAGATTAAGTGGTAACTCTTAATTATATCATTAGAAACCCCTGTTTTAAATTGGTTTCTAAATCCCTTGCTATCCTTCCCCCCTTCCCCGATAACGACAATTTTCGCGGTTTTTGATGCCATCTCCCGCATTCCGACCTCATGCGGTCTGTCGACACTCACGGCGGAACCCTCAGTCTTCACTGTTTACTAGTAGTTCGGTCGTACCTCCCTTCCTCACTGCTCGGCTGAGCTCGAAGCGTGCTGTGGCCGATCGCATCTCGGTTCCTCTCGTCTGGCCTCTTTGACGCGGCGTACCAATCCGGCCCAGACGATCTCAATTGTGAATCCCGTATACAATGCCATTTGCAAGCCAGTCCTGTCTGACCCACATTCGTACCCATCAAGGCGGACATTTATTGCTACCCTGACGATGGCCGACAACCTTCCGTTATATACCGCCACCTACAGGCCAGTCCTGTTCGCTTTTTTCTGTTATTATTTTTAAAGAGGGGTTTTTTTCTCCTGTAAATTTAATCCAATCATTTTTAACTTTTTTAAGGAGTTTTTTTTCACCCCTCAATCATCATGTTTCTCAATGGACTTCTAATTTAGAAACTAGGAATCGCATTTTGTAAAGATTCGGCCTACCTCGTCTAAAACTCGCATGCAAATTTATTTTAACTTGATTGATTGATGGGACCCCGACGGGTCTTTAATAAAAATTATCTATCTATCTATCTACCATCGCGGACTCGGTGCCACAACAGAGTTCAGAAAACCGGAGGAGGGATCGAGTGGAGGTGACTGGAATGACGTGAAACTGCGTCTGATTTCATCACCACTCCCCTGTCTATCTCATTAGTTTTGAGTGCACAGCCCAATAATACACGTCATATTCTGACCCGGCCGCCTGTTGGTCCAACGCAACTCTCGGGCGGACCGTTTTGGTGGACTGCGACAGCTCGACCGTCAATTCCGACGATGTCCACCGTGTGCTCCACATCATTGTGAGAGCAGGGACGGTAACTTGTGCGGGATTAGTTTATAGTTATAGAAGACTTGCATAGCACCTACCGCACTCTTTCTCTCTCACTTCCACACTTCCCACCTGGACCCTGTGAGGGGACAGAGGCAAGAAAACCAGAGGCAGGGAGGACGCAGGTGGATGGCACGGCCGGACCCGCACCTAGACGTGCCACCACACCCCCTGGTCCACGAGACACATTTGTCCAGGATTTTTCACCGACAATAAGAACGCCCCAACAGAAGTAAGAACGACGAGGAGGACTGGGCAACCATGCCCACCACCTGTATACCCAGCGGGAGCGCAAGCGCATCCACCATCAGGGAACCAGGTGTCAGGGAACTGACAGCGCATACCAGGCTACGAGGGCCACGGCTTGCTGACACCGGCATAGCACACGCTTTCAGACCTTTTGACCTAGAAGGACGACACGTAGCTTTGCATTTAGCCTGGGCCGTCACCCTTCAAGGTTGGGTAGCCCAACAGTCGTCGACTGAATGACACTACTCATAAAACACACACACACCCTTCTCATATGCATAGGTATCACAGATCGCTTGAGAAGGGGTCGCGGCAGTCTGGCTTTCAGCCCGTAGGTCCGTCACTCCACACAACACACACAGCTGGGCAGACTGTGTGGACAGATCTGGGACGTGAGTCGGCTGTCTTCCGAGCCACGGCTTACGACGCACCGTCTTCGTCTCAGACTCTGAACAAACCTGTAGCAGAAGATTTGCATAGAAAACAACCGAGACGCGCACCTCGCACTTGCGTGGGAGGTAGCATTTGGTTGCTTGCGGTGGCTGATGTTGATGTGCGGGGAGATGCTGGTGAGGGAGGGTGTGATTGTGCGGTGCAGCCGGCGATTGTCTACCGCAGGATTTCGTGGATGCGCATGTGGCTTAATAGACCCATGTGGTGAATAAATGTGCGAGTGCAATGTAGGCAGTGGGGGCGGATGCGACGAGTGAAGGTTGGTGCTCAAGGCGTTGGTTCGCCAGTCTCTGTACGATGAATTAGCAATTGACCGGCTAGACCGAGGTGTGAGGTGACAATGTGGACATGAGAAGTCGGCGCACTAAGCGACGGTGTATGAGCTGGGCTGAGCGTGGTGGGTATGGAGGATTCAGTGAGTGTGATGGAGCTGGTGGCGGCAACCGCGCTGATTTGAGGAGCATGGGCGGTTCTAGACATGGTAGGAATGTTGGATGTGCTAGGTCTGTCGAGACTGCGGCCAATTCCGCTCTCGTGTATACGCATGTGGCCGAACAGGTCCATGAGGTGCATAAACGTGCGAGGGCAGTGTGGACAGTGGAGGCGAATGCAGTGGATGAAGTTCGGTGCTCCAAGTACTGGAGGTGTTGGTGTTAGTTGGAGCCTCCCAAGTGTAAGGAATGTTGATGGCCGTGGCAGGAGGAACAACGGCAGAAGTTGAGGCTGGACGAGGACGACGACGACGACGATGATGATGATGATGATGATGATGATGATGATGATGATGATGATGATGATGATGATGATGATGATGATGATGATGATGATGATGATGATGATGATGATGATGATGATGATGATGATGATGATAGAATAGGTTTATTGTAGCGCCCCTTGGGCACTGTCAGTCCCCTTTGAACTCAGGAAAAAAACCCAAAACAAACTCGTCAATTTCAACTGCACTTTGACTTCATTTGCTTCGGGTGACTGGTTAGCCAAAAGAGCGCGAATTGAGAGTTTGTTTTAAGTTAAAAAAACCTCAGTTCGAAGGGAAAATAATAACAAAATTTTCAAAAAATAACGATATGTACAATATAAAAATTGAAGTTTGCAGTTTGGTAGTTTTCGGGGGCATGAATAATATGTCCTTCATGGCAGTTGAAGAACTTTGATATCGGCCTGACCTTGAAATTATTTTCCTGTTGGGTAAATTTCGGTTTGCTCTAGTTGCTGGTTGTCATGTGATACGGCAGGAGTGAACTGACCGTTTTTCTTTTTGTTTTATTAAAGTGGCCTGTTTCCGAAAGGGAGTAGTGTGTGTTTTTTTTTGTGCCTGCAGGATCTACTGAAGGAGTCCGCACCCCACCCCCTGTAGCAGCCTCCAGCTCTACACTCCCCGTGCTTCAACCAGCCAGCGACCGGGATTATATTGTTAGAGAACCTCCCTTGGACCAGCATTAGTCTGCGAATATTCTTTCCTTCCCCTCCTGTTTTCCGATTCGTATACACTCACTGACGTTCTTCGTTTTTCCTCCCCGTCTCCACTCATTCAATACATTTATATATCAACTATCTTAGTTGTCTCCGTTACACTCGTTTGTCTGAAGTATTGCCTGCCGTACGATGCCAAAATCCAAAACTGAACCGACAAGCCAACCCGGACCAAACCCCGTTTTATGTGATTCTATTACGACAAAGAACGTTAACCCAGGGCCGGTCTCCCCGACAGGACAGCCAGACGGACCGCCCATTACATTGGTGGCAGCGGTGCCCTCGAGCTCCGCTCCGCACATCCGTGCCAACAATTCCTCATACACCACACTGCCCTTGAAGCTAACTGCTTACGATGGGAAGGAAGACTTTTCCGCTTGGCTCCGGCGATCTCGATTCCATGTTGGATTGGTTCCCCCCCAAGACCAAAGTATGGCCATCTTACAGAGTCTAACGGCCACCCAACTGGATAAGGCACTAGACGCCGGGTTATCCGAGGAAACCCCACTGGCCCAACTATGCAGCGAGTTGGAAAACCTGCTGAAACCCTCCATATCTAAGCGAGAGGCGTTAGACCGCATGTACTCGCGACGGAGACTGGTAGGTGAATCGCCCAAGGACTTCGCAGATGACTTATACTGCCTTTGTAAGGCGGCGTTCCCGTCTATATCCCCTGCCGACTGCAACGACGCCGTCGTCTACCACTTCATTAAGTACATTGAACCATCGGAACTACGGCGTTCACTCCTCTTACAGCCTCCCCACGACCTCCAAGACGCCATCAGTCGTGTAAACCATTACTCAACACTGCCACATCCTGACTTACCCCGCCAGTCATTTCTTTGAAACAATCAAGCCCAGAACTGGCGACGAGACGATGCCGGTAATCACAACCGGCCGGGACCCTTTAACCGATTCCAGTACCCCAGACGCGGGGACTATAACCGTTTTGGCAACCGACAAGTCTGCGCATGTCACAACCACCGGTCAAACCCACCCAACAAACTTACCGGATCGGGTACGTGTTCCATTCCGCTTGTCTCCCAGCTTCATGCCACAGTACCACCATTCTATACTGAACTGCTTCTTAATCAGCGACCGATCCGCGCCTTAATAGACACGGGGGCGACGATATCGTTAGTAAACCCGCAAATACTGTCCCATGCACAAAATGTGTAGATAGACCCGAGACCCCGGTCCACATGCTTAACCACAGCAGATGGCTCTCGGCTGGACTGCATCGGCAGCATTTTGTTACAACTGACATTTCAGTCCGGGTTGAGACAACATACCTTTTTGGTAGTGCCAGGACTAGCCTGGGATATATTGCTAGGACTCGATTTCCTCAGTAGATACAATTGTGCCATTCAGGTCAATCAGCGTACTATCGAGTTCCAAAGACCACTCTCTACTACACAGGCCGTCTCACCTACGTTTGACGAAGACGCAGTGTGTGCTGCTATTCAAGCCACAGTTGCCTTACCTACCGTTCACATCGACACCATGCTACCTGACACCGTGAATGTAACTGAAAACGACCGTGAGACATTGCGAGCCCTACTAACAGAGTTCACAGAAGTTTTTGCGTGGGATGACGACTCTCTAGGTAGAACGGCATATCTGCGGCACTCCATCGACACCGGCAATGCCAAACCGGTATGGCAGCCACCTCGGCGAATACCGGCCCATTTCCAGGACGAAGTCAGTCAACTGATTGATTTTATGCTTAAGAATCGCGTTATACGCCCATCAAACTCATCATGGGCATCTCCCGTTACCCTAGTACCGAAGAAAGACGGGAAACTACGCCTTTGCGTCGACTACCGCAGACTCAACGCCTTGACCACTCGAGACTCATTTCCACTTCCCCGTATCGATGTGACCCTCGACGCACTAGCTGGCGCACGCTGGTTTTCTACTTTAGACCTTAAATCGGGGTACTGGCAGGTCGAGATAGAACCTGCAGACCGCCACAAGACAGCAGTTACACTTCCACAAGGACTATTCGAATATGAGACCATGCCATTCGGCTTATGCAATGCACCAGCGACATTTCAGCGCTTGATGCAAGTCGTCCTTGGCCAACTGCTACCAAATCAGTGCCTGGTCTACTTAGACGATGTTATAGTTTTCGGACGCACTATAGCACATCATAATCAAAACCTCGCGGCCGTTTTAACCGCACTGGGCGACGCAGGTTTACGTCTTAACCCACAGAAGTGTTTGTTTTTGCGTGACAAGGTCACCTATTTGGGACATGAAATCAGTCGAGAAGGCATCCAGGCTTCTCCGGAGAAAATCAGCGCTGTTAAATTGTGGCCGATTCCTAAATCAGTAACCGAACTCCGTAGTTTTCTTGGATTGGCGTCTTACTATCGCAAATTTATTTTAAATTTTGCATCCATTGCTCAACCATTACATCGGTTAACCGAGAAAAGACGGAAATTTACGTGGACTGACGAATGTCAGATTGCTTTCGACGATCTGAAAGCCCACCTGCTCTCTGCACCGATACTCACACTACCAAACACAGAAGCAGACGCTCCACCGTTTATTCTGGACACAGACGCCAGTGGGTTCGCCATGGGGGGAGTGCTATCACAAGCTGATGCCAACGGAACCGAACGACCTGTTTGCTTTGCCAGTAAGACGTTATCCAAGCCACAACGTAATTACTGCACTTATCGTCGCGAACTTCTGGCCCTCATAACGTTCGCTAAACAGTTTCGTGCATTTTTGATCGGCAAACCATTTATCGTGCGGACTGACCACAAAGCCTTACAGTGGCTACAGAATACGAAGGATGCAGAAGGACAGTTAGCCAGATGGCAAGAGACACTTCAGCAGTTTACCTTCTCATGTCAGTACCGGCCAGGGACTAAACACGCCAACGCTGATGCTCTCTCCCGCCGTTATGACGAATCGACTTCTGAGGCGACCGCGACACCAGACGTTACCATCAATGCCGTGCACATGAGCGAACCTACACGGTACCATTGGACGGTGGTGCAAAGCACTGATCCCGACACAGCTATCCTGTATAACCACCAGCGTGCGGGCAAGCACCGACCGACAGACGAGGATCTCAGAGGATCATCTGAAGTCGCCCATCTACTACGCAATCACTGGCCTAACCTCTTCATTGACAACGACTTACTTTTCATTAGAGAAACTGCCAATTCCACTCCTCGTGTTGTTGTGCCTGGCAGCTTAATAATTCCCGTTTTAACTGATTTACATCATGAACTCGGTCACGTGGGCCAGGCTAAGACCGAAAATGCAGCCAGGCAACGATTTTGGTGGCCACAGTTACGTGAAACGGTGGCCACATTTTGTAACAGTTGTCCTGTTTGTGCGTCGTTTAAAAGCCCTCAACAACGATTTCGCGCTCCTCTCCAGCCTATGGTCACAGGGTTCCCATTCCAACGCGTTGGGGTCGACATAATTGGACCTTTGGCCTATTCTACTTCCGGGCATCAGTATATCTTAGTCATGGTCGACTATTTTACTAAATGGGCAGAAGCCATACCCCTCCGCAGACAGGATGCGCTATCAGTGACAACTGCCTTCTTTAACGACTGGATTTGCCGTTTTGGGGCTCCTCTTTCCCTTCACTCAGACTGTGGCGCCAACTTTGAAAGTAAGTTAATACAAGACGTATGCGATCAGTTACACATTCATAAGACACGAACAACCCCGGCACATCCCGAAGGCAACGGACAAGTCGAACGAACCAATCGCACTCTCATAAACCTTCTAAAAGCGTTTGCCGAACATCATCGACCTTTCAACTGGGACACCAGGCTACCCTATGCCCTAATGGCTTATCGCGCGACGGTTCACTCCTCTACAGGATACTCGCCTTTTTTTAAGCTTACTGGACGGAACTTCCGACTACCTATCGACTCCAACTTACCCATCATGGAATCCGAGACCTACACCACCGGCTCTTACATGCTTGAGCTTCAAGAACTATTACGAATCACACACAATTTAGCACGCGAACATCTAGGCTCAGCATATCAACGACAGAAAGAAAACTTCGACACACAAATTTCCGGCACTCCTTATCAACCAGGCGATCTTGTTCTGCGTTACCGACCCATACCACCCGTTGGCGTATCAGCGAAGTTCTTCCATCCTTGGGAAGGCCCTTTCCGCATTCTTCGCGTCATCCTACCTACCACATACCATATACAGGATGCCACAATGCCCAATAGCCCCACCATGACTGTTCATTTTGATAAATTAAAGCCCTTTAGAGGACGCTTACCACTAGCATCACACGACACCCTACCCATCCTTCCCGATCACTTAGTTCCAGAACCTTCCAACGAAATTACCATACAGGACCCTTTACCGCGCGCCCCTGGGGACCCTGTGGACAGGGTCCCATCCTGAGGGGGGGAAAGTGTGATACGGCAGGAGTGAACTGACCGTTTTTCTTTTTGTTTTATTAAAGTGGCCTGTTTCCGAAAGGGAGTAGTGTGTGTGTTTTTTTTTTGTGCCTGCAGGATCTACTGAAGGAGTCCGCACCCCACCCCCTGTAGCAGACTCCAGCTCTACACTCCCCGTGCTTCAACCAGCCAGCGACCGGGATTATATTGTTAGAGAACCTCCCTTGGACCAGCATTAGTCTGCGAATATTCTTTCCTTCCCCTCCTGTTTTCCGATTCGTATACACTCACTGACGTTCTTCGTTTTTCCTCCCCGTCTCCACTCATTCAATACATTTATATATCAACTATCTTAGTTGTCTCCGTTACACTCGTTTGTCTGAAGTATTGCCTGCCGTACGATGCCAAAATCCAAAACTGAACCGACAAGCCAACCCGGACCAAACCCCGTTTTATGTGATTCTATTACGACAAAGAACGTTAACCCAGGGCCGGTCTCCCCGACAGGACAGCCAGACGGACCGCCCATTACAGTCAGTCTATCTGGCCGGCTGTAAGGGGGCGGTCGCGCAGTTCCTACGTATTTTTCAGGAGGCTTACCATCGTTGTCTGGACTAAGAGCTGGAAAAGATGAATATATATCAGGAGTAAGAAGCATTCAATGGTAAGTCACAATGAAAACTGTCAAAATACTATTGAATCATGTATCATATTGTTCTTGTTAATGTGAAATTATAGGAGTAGTGGTCGACTGTTTACTATGACCTAATATAGTTCTATATATGTTTAATATGGCTTTAATATAGACATACGCACGACTAATATGCAGGGTTTTATCGAAGGGTATATTTTTATTAGCTTTATAAGGGATATTTAGTGTCAGGTGACATAGCTGATGAAAACGAGAAAGGGAGGAAAATAGAGGATTATCATTATCTGTTCTATGTTAATCAATGATGCTATCTTTTATAAATTTGATTATTTTTAGTGCTATTTTCCGGTATTTTTCAATCGGCTGGCATCATCAGAGCCCTTTTGGACCAAATTCAATATCAAAGAATTGACTTGAAAAGTGTCCTATCTTATTCAAAAATAAATGTGTATTGTTATTTGAAAGGAATTTCCTAGTTTTTATTTTAAATTCGATTAGGGTTCGACTTTTCCGGATATAACCTGGAAGAGAATTCCAGATAGTCGCATATCTTATGGTGTAGAAATTTGATCGTTGGGACTTTGTGAATTTGGGAATCTTTATAATATCCTCGCTATTTCTGGTGTTTCTAGGGGCGTTTTGGTTGGTAAGTAAATTCATTTTGAGAATATCTTGATCGTGGGTGACCTTGAATAGGAAGTTTAGACCATTTCGAAGTCTTCTGATCCAGAGTGGTCGAAGACCGTATTTATGATATAGTTCTAAGTATGAACCCTGGATGCCATCACTTCTAGACAAAGATCTAGTAAACCGTCTCTGAATGCCTTCTAGTTTCTTTCGGCCGTCTGAGGGCATTATGCCGAAGAAAATTGAACAGTAATCTAGGAGAGGTAAAAGATACATTTTGAACAGTTGTATTCTTAGTGCATTTAAGGTGAAATTTTTACATATGAATCCACACAGGCGAGTGGCTTTCGGTGATATTTGTTGGACGTGGGGAGATAAATCAAGGGTATTTGTATAGCTGAGACCTAAATCTTTTACAGATTGGGCCTCTGTTATTTCATTATCCTCGAATATTATGGGGGGAAGTTTTTGTGGGCCAAATATCAGGAGATGGCATTTTTCGGGTGAAAAGGGCATCTGCCACTGACTACTCCATTCGCTGAGTTTTCTGAGATCAGTTTCAATTGTTCTATGAATATTGGCTACTGTATTCCCGTTATATGCATATGCAATTTTAAGGTCGTCCGCATATGATGATGATGATGATGATGATGATGATGATGATGATGATGATGATGATGATGATGATGATGATGATGATGATGATGATGATGATGATGATGATGATGATGATGATGATGATGATGATGATGATGATGATGATGGGAATCGTGATGCGTGCTGGGGATTGTGGTCAGTGTTAGTTGTCGGCGTAGGAGGTGAGGAAGAGTTAAGCGTAGAGAGAGGACCTGGTGTAGTCCGGGTGCTGCTGTTAGTACGGAGATGTCCTACGAGACCGATTGTCGCCCGGAACGTCCGCTGGCAGCATGGGTAGGTTGGAGCTTGTTAAGCGTTGGCGTTGCGAGGTGGGCGCGGTTGAGATTTGCGAGCGTCGCGTTTGGCCTTGGTTTTGGTGATGCGCTTGACTTATTAGATAGTTGCACCCGTCTTCGATGTCCTCTTCCAGGTCGGTCGGTCTCGGGTGAGGTCTTACAGGTTGGCCGGCTTGATCTACAGACGCTCCAGCGGAGTCTTCAGACTTTCCATGTATTGACGGACTTGGCCTCCTTGCTGGCGGGAACCCGTTGCATTATCTCCATAGAACATGCTTTTGGGTAGCCGCTCGTCGTCTATCCGCACGAGGTGGCCTCTGCAACGCAGTTGCAGCCGTCTCCGCGTGGCGTAGATGCTAACGATTCCTGTACGCTCCGGTACATCCAAGTCGGGGATCCGGTTCTGCCACTTCAAATTCAGTATCCGTAGATGACAGCTGAGGTAGAAGTGGCTGAGACTTCGCGCCTGCTTATCGAACGCCGTCCTGGTCTCCGCTCCATACAGTAGAGTCAGCGAGATGACTACCTTGTAAATCTTCAGATTGGTGTCAAGATGGAGGCTGTGATGGTTCCAGACTGTGCTTTACGGGCCGCCGAAAGTTTGGTTGGGTTTAAAAGCCTGGCGGGCAACCTCATTGTAAATATACTTGGTTCGAGATAGGGTGCTGCCCAGGTATGTGAAGTTGTCCAAGACTTGCAGTGAGGCGCCGTTCACATCCATATGGGGTGCGACGTAGGCAGAGTTGGGTGTCGGTTGATGCGTGATCACCGTATTCGTCCTGTTGCCGCAGGCGGCGGCGGCGGCGGCGAAGAAATCCACGCTCATTTACGTGCCCAATTCCGAGGTGGTGTTGAGGGCGCAGTCGTCGGCGGACGGAACCTCATCTCCGGGATGCCGTAGCGGTGATCCATCGGGCCAGCGGAGCCGAGCTCATCATTTGCGGAAATGCACAAACGGATACTCTCACTTGGTCTAACTCGCTGGTTATGGCGGTTACCAGAGTGTGGCCGCTAGGCAGAGCCTAACCTCGGGGAGCCACATGTGAGAGTTTGGTGCCAGCAAATGGACGCTAGGCGTAGTCTGCACCTGCAAGCGAGCGAGCGACCTAGTACATCCGTCACGTGGACCCACAGCTGGACACCCCTACACCCGTGCTGCGGGAACACACTCATACATACGCATATCTACATAAATAGCACTGTAGTGTCTGCGGCAGACGCAGAGATTACCATTCAGCTACAGGTAATTTCAATACATTTTTTGTCCAGATGGTTTACAGGCAAAGGTTGTAACCAAACTTTCCATCCAAATGACAACCCATCTGCAATATTTTGAAAAAATTATTTGTGGGCAAGTGCACCACCATTATGAAAGCCATACTGGCCCTACCGTCCGAACCATCTACCTCGTTCCCATTTTGGTCACCATACGACATCACAAGATATCGGTTGAACTAAAAGGAAGGTTGGGGTCCATTTCTCGAGGGCCTTATCACAAAATCACGATATGGTCAGAAGAAGGAATCAAGTCTTGTTTAGAATAAACAACCTAAGGTAAACTTACAAAGAATTTTAGATAGCAAATCTGTCAAATTATACGATTCCCGAATTTTGCCAAAAACAACCTTGATATTTGTTGAAAAGCCAGATTATTCAGAAACTGTCTTATGGTTCTTGTTTTAAACTACTATTTCATCATACGCCGGCACTTTTAGGCTCCACCCGTAGGCATGTCGAAGCGTGGTAAGTACATGGTTAGTTTTTTTGTTAACCACTCCGGCACGAGAAGGAAGCTGCAACAGTACTTGGTTTTTTTTAAGGACGTGGTGGCTCTTCGGGAGGCAAGTTTCGCATCTCTCTGGGTCTTCCCGTTGGGGCAGTGATCAATTGTGCTGATAACACTGGCGCTAAAAATCTCTATGTGATCGCTGTTTTTGGCGTCCGCGGTCGCCTCAACCGTCTCCCGTCGGCTGCAACTGGCGACTGTGTCGTCTGTTCTGTGAAGAAGGGCAAGCCGGAGCTTCGGAAGAAGGTTTGGCAGGCCGTGGTTATAAGACAACGGAAGTCATACCGGAGAAAGGACGGGACCTTTATCTACTTTGAAGATAATGCGGGTGTTATTGTGAAGCCCAATGGTGAAATGAAAGGTAAGTGACCCGAGAGTACCACATGCAATTTAAATATCGCTCAAGGCGCATGCCAAATTACGCTGCGGTCCCCGACGGCGTCCAGACAGCATGCCACAATGATGTGCCAGCCCTTTAACACCATGAACACTGGCCACAACCACTTATTTATGCACACCCTAGATGAACAGTCAAGCGTTTATGCCGATGTGGTTTTTCTTGACAGTCCGACCTTCCCGTTTTAACGCCTATTAAGGGTTCATCAACGATACACGCCTGGACTTGAAGGCCGATGTGGTAGTGTGCCGTAGTCGTTTTGCGGCCCTTAAGCGTCTGACACTATCCCTGACGTTCCAGTTTCCTAGTTTGGGGTTTTTGTTGCATTTTCCTTGTGATGGCCACGAACGCCCCTTCCTAGACGGAAGCACTAGATCAAAACGGTGACCACATTAACTCATGGGACGCCGTTGTTAGACCGCCCCAAGTCTGTATGACTGATGTGCGTCTGTGAGGCGAGCCCTAGACAGTGGCAGACCTCGCTCCAGTCATCCCGACCTATCTCACCAGTCGCTGAAATCCTCGGACAGTCCATCAGTTCTAGGGAGAAAGAAGTAGTGGTAAGTGCGCTACCCTGGAATCCATCGTCACGACAACAGTGTATTCTTCATGGTAATAGAACTTACACGAACTTATAACGACGCGTCAAGTATCATGGCTTCAGGCGTTGCCAACAGACGAGTTAACTCAGTCTTGCGCAGGACTGAAGGCCAAATTTCATTGGCCTCTCAACGCATCTGGCATGGCACTCACGTGTGACCAAAGATCGCGTAAATGGAGCTTGCTGCATATGGGATCAGGGACGGGTCGTGTCGCTCGTAGACGGGTATAGCTTTGTCAACCATTGAGCTCACACCCACCTTCAATCGTCGAGACGTGTTGGGCGCAGTGAGAGCGAGGCAGATGCAACGAAGGTTTGCTTTTCTGTGCCAATTCAGCTCTAATGTCAAGTGCGTTCAAATTGCGGGGCTGGGCCGTATCTTGTCGCTTGCGACGGCAACTCTATCACAAGGGTTTGTTTCTACGAACTCACAATTGTCGGGCGCTGTAGGGTTCATTGCCATCATAATTGAGCTTTCTGGGCGTCGAACCATTGCATTTGCGACACGTGGTAACTGGCATATTGTTTGCCTACTTTGTTTTAACAACCAACGGCTGCTTTTCAGTTCCATTCGATTAAAGTCCACTTTTTTTTGTAGGTTCCGCCATTACGGGTCCTGTTGCAAAGGAATGTGCTGACATGTGGCCTAGAATAGCTTCCAACGCGGGATCCATTCACTGATTTGTAAAATATATTGTCTGGCAAATTTTTGCAGTGGACGGTCTGTTTTTGGCAACTGTTGTCTCCTGAAAATTGATATTAGGAGCTTTTAACAGGCAGTACATGCCACTTAGACGTATTTCGGACCATGCAATTTGATTGGATCGATAACTGTGCCATCAACGCCATTAATCCGGTCGAAGAGGGACCGAATCGCGGGGATCACGCGGCTTCTTAATCACCCACTGCCAAAGAGCCCGCGATAGAACAGGTGTCTGGCGGCCATAGATTATTCTAGAGGTTCACTCATCTCTCCGAGCGCCGTCTTTGATAGCCTGTAGGCATGCCAGCTGTTAACTGTTCTCTCGATCAGCTTTTAGGTGAGGCAGCTATTTCCATCTGCACTTTTACCCGTGCCAACTGGTCATAGGTCATCGGCGTAGCTACCAGATTGCAAGGGCTTAATTTTCGTCACACCGGCAGCCTGATGAAATGCCTTATTTTGGCATGACTGAGTCGTGAGATTGGTTCTGACCACATCTGCCTTATGACCTGAATTTCTCTTGTAACCCGACTTGTTTCCATACTGGAACATATTCCAGGGCATCATTTAGCAAAGCCGCGGCGGTTGACACCTAAGGACCACCTGATCATACGTATGACATTTGGTTTGCGGATGTGGTGGGCTTCTTCAACCAGCAACTTGTTGAGGTATGAATTGAATGGTAGTGAGGAACCAGCTGTCGGCGGACGTTTCAGTTTTAGCGGACGTGTGATAGTAGTTACTTAAGACAATCCTACAGAAGACTAGAAATATGCGTTCGAGTTCCTGTATACTTTACGCACTTCTCAGGACCCCGTCAGTCGTAAGTTACCAAGTAAAGGTCGCTACTCAGTACGTCATGAAGCTCGGGCTTGGTAGTATGTTTTGCGTGGTTGTCGCCTTTGACTACATCGTTCCTGTCTGTGCATGCTTCCCAACCCTACCGTCTACCAGGTCTCGCATTTCTAGCGTAGTGGGTTTTGTAAGTCACATTGGTCCCCCAGCCACTTTGTCACAAAATCTTAGTACAGCCTTGGTAGGGGAGTTTTCCTTAGTGTCATCCTCATCAAGTTTCCCTTTATCGACGAGCGTATTATTGGGGAATGCGGACTACGGGCGCGTGCATAGCTGGCGGATGAGGAGTTTTGACCGCGAAGTAAGCAAGCCATCGAATATGACGAATAAGCAGTCGCGGACCTCAGTAACAGTGCTACCAGGACACCGACTGGGGTTTGACACGCCAAATTCCTTGTTAAATGCATCGGAGCCGGACGACGACAGTGGCATGACAGTAAACCGCCACGAAAGAGACATGCATACTGTCGCTGCCCCGTGGTCAGATTAGGAAACTAAAGCGCTAAAGATGACAAGCTCGAAAGAAAAGTCGGGGCGGCTGTCGGGTGATGCAAATGCGTTTAAAATCCCTAAGAAACCACGAAGTGTCCGGTGTATCACCAAGGTCGTGTTACGATGCCCACGGGGACAGACGCGACCCTCGTAGAGGGGCGCAGGCAGATGATGTACAAGCCGGGTTGCTGAATTTGGAATAGACACTGGTCGTGGGGTGTGCGAACGTCCCCATGTCCTTGTGGCTAGTCGTTACCGGGACATCGTGGACGTTTATTGCTCGTCTTAAGTTCGCTCGGAAAATAATCATCCTGGCATTCTCCTGCTACGTACGTATCACTGCGGCACACATGATTCTACCCGTAGTCACTGGCGGTCTCCCTCGTACTAAGTTGGCTGAACGCCACTTGCATGGGAACCAGTCAATGATCTGGCGGCTTAGGTGCGGTTGAGGAGTAAGTACGAACATTCCTGCCATCTCCGTATACGCACGGACATTAGCTGCCACCTAGCGCGACGGGGAACCTTTCTGATCGCTGCTTCAAGAATTGATCGGAGGACTCTCACTCCGTGATCTGCTGATTATCGGAGACTGGGATGGCCGAGATGCACCCGGTGGCTCATCAGTCACAATACTGATAGCTTTGTGCTTAACTCGGTGTGGCAGGGAGAACGCCGGACTTTCCTGATCAGAGCCGACTGCGCGCCACCAGCACGTGCTCCCAACATCTCCACAAACTTGCTGATCTGCTGCTCTAGCGACGGCTATACAGCCAATGGGATAGGCTACAGTTTAGTTGATCCACAACCCACAACTGCCCAGGAAATACCACTCAAGTGGTTTGAACAGGCCTGGTGAGTTCAGCGCGGGTAGTACGCTGAAAGAGATGAAAATTACCGCTGCCCCGGGTCGGGATCGCTTTCGACTGTCGCCCAGCTCTTTTTAGCTCTACTGAGTCCAGATAGTCATACGGAATCATAATCACTGAAGGTTGGCGTGAACGCGATGGTGAAGACACCATTCTCTGTAGAATCTAAGACGCCTTATGCTGTTCCTTTGCGTTGGC